GTATCAGATTTGGCAAATGAAATCAGCCACAAATGCAGAACACGTTTGAGATAGACCTAATGCATGCACATGCACACACTTCTGCATATTGCTGTTGGTTTTATTAACATTTTTAATTTCTTCCACATTCTAAAGCTATTTTATTTTATTTTTTTTTTACACTTGGTTCATTAAAATCAATAATATGCAACTACAATCTGACTCTAAGTCTTGTCCTTTAGATGTGTCTTATGTGGCATTTTTCTGTCAAATTTTTGTGGCATTTTTTGGAAACAGACATTTCAAAATGCATCATAAACCACAAAAAATTATACCATTTGAAAGAATATTTATTTTTAATGTATTTTCTAATGTTTATATATACATAAATTCACAAAATGTATCACAAAAGTTGTGATAGAAGCAGTTGGCACATCCAGTAAAATGAATGGCTCTCTATGGCCCTCTGCTGGTCAAAACAATTTCTTTCCTAAATTGTAATATATTTGATGTAATTTAACAGTTTTGAGAAAATAATTAAATCAATGACTGAAAGCACTATTACAAAACACTATCATATTAATAAGCAATCAGTAATTACTTTTTGATTTCATGATAAAGCCCACTGTAACTTCACTATTTGTTCATCCACACTCAGTAAGGTTACGTTACCTGCGCGGATTGTAACTACGCAGTAGGCTAAGCACTATTTAAATTAACCAGTGTATCTATATGTTTGGTTGACTGTATTTTATTCTGATAATGAACAGGCTACAACGTTTGCAATGCTGTATGTGTGTGTGTGCATGTGCGTGAGGCGCCGGCGCGATCGAACAGCGAAAAAAAATAAATAAATACTCTGTCATTTTTGGTCATACAGATCTTTTGAAAACTTTATCTCTGTCATCTCGGTTTCATTTCCGTGGACTTTCGTAGAGCGCCGCGCCACACAAATAGCCTATGAACCAAACTCTTTCCTTTCCTTTTGTTAATCTGTTAATTAGGCTATTTAAGTCAAATATTTCGCATATTTATTCATTTTATAGATATGATTTAATAAAAACAGATTTTGTTATTTTTAGTTAAACTTATTTTTGTTGCTTGTCTGTGCTCGTCCGACAAATGAATGGCTCTCTATGGCCCTCTGCTGGTCAAAACAATTTCTTTCCTAAATTGTAATACTTTTAGGTTTATTTCTAACCAGCAGATGGCAGAATTCTACACCTAACACCTAGATCAATATCCAGAAGCAACTTCAATTAAATTTAGGTCATCCTTTAAGTGATTTTTCCATAAAAAAATTAATATTTCACATGCAAGCTAATGGTGTAGTTGAGAAATGTTGTGGTAAATAGGTACAAAAGTACTTCATATCTCCCAAAACACAGCATTAATGTATTTATCTCTGTCATCTCGGTTTCATTTCCGTGGACTTTCGTAGAGCGCCGCGCCACACAAATAGCCTATGAACCAAACTCTTTCCTTTCCTTTTGTTAATCTGTTAATTAGGCTATTTAAGTCAAATATTTCGCATATTTATTCATTTTATAGATATGATTTAATAAAAACAGATTTTGTTATTTTTAGTTAAACTTATTTTTGTTGCTTGTCTGTGCTCGTCCGACACCTTTTTTCTCTTTTCCGACCCCGCAGCTCTCTCCGATAACTCATGCTATTTCTCCATGTTGAGAGTTTGGTGTTGCACATATTGCACCTGACTATGTGTGTCTTATGTGGCATTTTTCTGTCAAATTTTTGTGGCATTTTTTGGAAACAGACATTTCAAAATGCATCATAAACCACAAAAAATTATACCATTTGAAAGAATATTTATTTTTAATGTATTTTCTAATGTTTATATATACATAAATTCACAAAATGTATCACAAAAGTTGTGATAGAAGCAGTTGGCACATCCAGTAAAATGAATGGCTCTCTATGGCCCTCTGCTGGTCAAAACAATTTCTTTCCTAAATTGTAATACTTTTAGGTTTATTTCTAACCAGCAGATGGCAGAATTCTACACCTAACACCTAGATCAATATCCAGAAGCAACTTCAATTAAATTTAGGTCATCCTTTAAGTGATTTTTCCATAAAAAAATTAATATTTCACATGCAAGCTAATGGTGTAGTTGAGAAATGTTGTGGTAAATAGGTACAAAAGTACTTCATATCTCCCAAAACACAGCATTAATGTATAGATGAGATGTAAACAACAAAAAAAAATATATTATTTGTATGATTAAAAATGTATATATTTTTCACAATTACTCTTTCAATGTTTGGGGTCATACTGACCCTAAGGGACTTAAGTGTAAACAGGAAATGAGGGACATTTGAGGGTTAATTCCAGCAACAGGAAATAGACCAACTATTTTACCTGCAGAATTTTTTCTCTGGTGCTGTTTTGCGGTGTTGGTAAATTCACCACTTCATTTTGTTTGGTGTTGCACATATTGCACCTGACTATGCATTCTTATCCTTTTCTCTGATGAACTGAAAATAACATGAGTGTGTCCATCTCACAAATGTAGAATCCGTCTCTGCAGTCATCTCAACCATTTAACCCTCAATCGACCCCTGGGGTCAATATGACCCCAATCAACTTTTACTTAGTTTAAAAAATTGGTTCCCTTCATCTCAGTGGAATAAGATTTTGTGACTTTTCAACATTTTATATCTATATTCACATAAAAAAACTGGGCTTGATTCGGTTGTTCTGAAGGTATGTAAAACATTATTTTGTCCCTTGGAGTCAATATGACCCCACATTGAAATGAATGGGAAATGTGAAAAAAATTACATTTTATTTTTTTTTTATTTGTCAAAAAAAATAAAAAATCAGCCAAAAATGCAGAACAATGATGTAAAGGGGTGAGACCTAATGCACGCACACGGGCACACTCACACACACCCACCCATATATTTTTCACAATTACTCTTTCAATGTTTGGGGTCATACTGACCCTAAGGGACTTAAGTGTAAACAGGAAATGAGGGACATTTGAGGGTTAATTCCAGCAACAGGAAATAGACCAACTATTTTACCTGCAGAATTTTTTCTCTGGTGCTGTTTTGCGGTGTTGGTAAATTCACCACTTCATTTTGAGTTAAAATATATTGTTGTAACTTGCGTTACTGAGATTGCAACGATTAATAATATTACCCAAATTGTATTAGTAATGCGTTATATTACGGCGTTACAGCAAAAAGTAATATGCTACTGTAATATTATTACTTTTGTAATGCGTTACTCCCAACACTGTTGGTGACACACAGGCAGCTACAGACACAGGCTTTGGTGATGTGATCCTGAAAGAATATAATAAAAATGCATTATATGTAATGAAAATTATTTTTATTAGTAGTAGTAGCTACTTCAATTTTTTTTTTTAAACCATATTTGTCACAGATTGTATTGAAGGACAGTGAGGAAGCAGGATTCAGATGCAGAAGTACCTATTTTTATTAAGAAGATTACTGAACTCAAACCATTCACATAAAAATGAATTTAGACAACCAAATACTAAAACTCTACTACTCAATACTGTAGGAATATAATAGATCAAAGGAGAAAGGAACACAATACAACAGGATGCAAGCATATAAAAAAGAATCACTAAGCAAACAAACACAAAACTAAATGTGTATGTGACATTATATAAATACATTATATATTACATCTTATAATAATATGTAGAAACAACATTAGAAATCTGTGAAAATGCATGTAAATGATGTAATATGTCATATTTAATATGTCAATTATATGTTTATATACAATTTCTGATCCTTTCTGTTGTTGTGCATTTATAGCTTATCAATAAATGGTACACAGGTGTTCACTTTACATTAAGGTTCACTTTCACAGATTACTAACCTTTATAGCTAATCAGGTGTTCACTTTACATTAAGGTTCACTTTTACAGGTTACTAACGTTTATAATTCAATAATAAATGGTTCACAAGTGTTCACTTTACATTAAGGTTCACTTTTACAGGTTACTAACGTTTATAATTCAATAAATGGTTCACAAGTGTTCACTTTACATTAAGGTTCACTTTTACAGGTTACTAACGTTTATAGCTAATCAATAAATAGTTCACAGGTGTTCACTTTACATCAAGGTTCACTTTAACAAGTTATTAACATTTATAAATCATTAATAAATGGCTCATTACATTAAAGTTCACAGGCAATATTGGAATTAAAATTTTCAATATTAATATCTCATCAAGTCATGGGTGTGCGTTTATTATTTTTTTCCCCAAAATAAAAATCAAGATGATAATTTCATCTTGATAAAAAAAATATATCGGTTTCTAATCATTGCTGTGGATAGGCATCATTAACTTTTGCAGAGAATCATGGGTAAGGTACAGAGTAAATTCTGGTAAGAAACATTGTAAGAAAAGTGACACGAGTCATGAGATATAAATGAGAAAACCATAAATACAACACCCTTCAGTCTTGCTAAAATAGTAAATTTTTGGAGCATCATGATATAAATCAGGAATCTGGTTTTGAGAGACATAAGTATTAATAAATATATTTGTTAAGCATTTATAACATGCAAGTTAAAAATGGCTCACTATTTGGCAGGTATTGCATTAAAATCACCCTTTTACTCATGCATTTATAACTGCTTATCAATTATTTATAATGCACTTGTACATGAGTTATTAGTCATTTATTAACACCTTTATAAACCCTTTATAAAGGGAACCTTAATGTAAAGTGTTACCACTTAGATGGCTAATTTTTTAAGACTAGTCTAAGCAGTTTATGCAACCAGCCCCTGGTGTGTTGCTTAAAGTGATGGAAAAGTCTGTGGAACACAAAAGAAGATATTCTGAAGAATGGTAACCAACCCGTTTTGATTAGAAATGACTTAATGTACACTGTATGGACCAAACAGAAAAAAATAAAAATAAAAAAAAAAGCTCTCTAATACTTTTGTCAAACTAGAAATATATGACCTTATTCGCTATGGAAAAAGTTACACAAAGACACTGTGTATGAGAAAAAAAGTTTTTATTAGCTGTTCTCCTTTTTGACAAATGGAATGAATCAAGTTGGCAGATTATGTACATAATCCAGTCAAAAATGTGTTAGAATGCCATGATGACAAGTTAGAGAAGCAATCTTTTAGAAAACAATCATCTCCGAGTAACTTGAGAATGAAAAGGGGATGCTGTCAGTGCGCTCCCTGGTGGATAGTTAAAGTTGTGTTAGAGAGTGGCAAAGCAAATCTCTCTTCAGCTATGGGCAGTCAACAAGTTCACATACATGGAGGCAAGAATCTCCTAGCCTCTAACGTTTACAGTTCATGCTAGCTCTGACATTTTCACAATCCCAGGTGAAAACAGAAAGAGAAGCCCTCTCCTCCGCTTCTCGCTTATATTTAATGCATCAAAGACTATTGCTTTTAGAAATCATGCACGTTACATGAAAAAGTAAATATGACAACTATATAGGAGAGAGAGAGAGCTGAAGACTACAAACTGCCAACTTGAGTTTTATTTCATACTGTTTGAGCAGATGCAAATGGAACACCAACATTCAGTCCATGTGTCCTGTGTGTCTGTGTTTTTGCATAAAACAAACCATTTACAACAAAGGTGATGGTGGTAAAAGTAAAGGAAAATATATATTTATATATCTATTTATATTTACTTCTATATACATACACACATATTCATATGAGTGTATGTTTGACATTATAAAGAAAATAATTCCCATAGGTGTGGAGTTCAATTAAAGCTCAATATAGAGTTTCATTATAACAAAATAGGCAGTATATTGAGGGTTGAATATACATTACAATTTATACTCTCTTATTTGCATTGTTTCTTTAAGAATGTCATCACCTGGATTTGAACGATAATTGTAAGCTGTTCCTTTTCACCTTGACTAAAAGCTACTCCCATATGCACCTTGATTAAAATGTACACAGATTGTTAAGACAAATAGACATTTCATATAAAAAGAAGAACTTTTGTGCCAAATGTTTTTGTCCTCTTTGTGCACTTGTGACAAAACAGATCAGCTGCTTAAAATTAGTGGGCTGCTTGATTTTACAAGATAACTGAGAGAAAACAAAAGTAATATGGTGGCTGCAGTTCACGTAGCTCAAATCTGTCTGACAAAAACGTAAGAACATATGTTAACTGAAAAAGAACCATCCAAAACATGCTCTTAATGCAAAAACGTGCAAAGTGGTGCTTTAAGTCTTTTCAGAGACAGACATGAAAGCGTTAACTTCTGATCATATAAGGGAAAAAGAACAAACTAAAATGTATATAATGTATTATCTCATTGGTTTTCCTTCGAGAAAGTCACCTCCCTTAAACATTAAGGAATCTGTACCGTATAATCTGTCCAGTGAGTCGCTGGTCAAGCATGTCTCCTCCCACCGGAGGAGGAAATGCGGAGATTGGGATGCGAGTTCTAGACAGCAGTTTCAAAGAGAGGCATGAGAGAGAGAGAGAGAGAGAGAGAGAGAGAGAGGTGGCCGTAAGACCACCATGACCCCAAGCCCGTCCAAAGAAAATTTATTTCCTATACTCAGGGGTCAGAAAGCCAATGCAAGGAGCAGGCCAGGTTAGTATAAAAAAAAGAAAGAAAGAAAAAAAAAACCAACCAAAAAAAAAACGTTTAAAGAAGAATAAGGTTTATTTGTCTCCAGTCGTCTCACAATTTCTCTTTGACTGGAACCCAGATGAACGGCCCAGACTGCTCCTCGATGACCTGCTTAACCTGGTTGTAGATCTCTTCTAATGTGTCCCCTTGCACAATGGCTGAAGGAAAGATAAAATGACGATCAATGAGTATCAGAGATCTCCATGTTCAATGGAAACATATAAAAATTCTCAGGAAAGTTGAGACTGGATACAGCTGGCCCACAATGATTTGCCACTGGTATTTAATTTTATTTAGTAATATTTAAGGAAATCCTACAAATATCAAAAGTAAATAATACTTGGAATACTTAAAAGTATTGTATCATAAACGCACACAAAAACAAAATTTGATAAATTTAGTTTTGTCCTGAGGTGCAGCCACATAAGCAAGATTTTGGAGAAATTTCACAGCAAAAAAGGTTCATTGTCGATAGTCATTAATGTAGTGAGGTATGAAGCACACCTCATACAGAAGTCACTTTCAAACCAAGCAGCACTTTTTGTTGGTCAACGCATATTTCAAAATCTGTGTGAATTAAGCTGTTGTTGCTACATTTCATGTTTGTATTGTTACAGCAATATAAAACTCAAAAATCTTTTGTGTAAGCACCAATACAAAGAAACTAAAGGGCATTTGCAGTGGGTCTGATTGATATTTCAAACTGATTGCTTCCTCTTTTTAATGTTCTGTTTTGGAAAATTTTAAATGTATTTATTCTGAATACGGAATTAAACTGAAAATAAACATAATATAGTAAGACTCCAGGCAAAACTCCTGGAAATACAGGCAATCTTTCCTCTGGCTGAAGGTTATTTACTGTGAGGAGATATAAAGCCACAAACCACACAGTAAAGATGCACATCCTATTTATTATTTTAATGGCAGTGGTTTTGTGCAAATTATGAGTACTTTTTAATCAAATTATAATCAGTAAGCTTGGCTTTTATCAACAAATTGCACAGGAATGGCCATCAAAACAATGCAGACGATATGAAATACTGCAGAAGAAATGATAAAACCGTGATTATGTACTCACGGGGAACACACGATCCAAACTTGTCCGGAAACTCCGAGATTAGATCATCATTAATCCGGTCTTTCATGGGTCCAAGGACAATCACTGGACGAGCATAACTCACTGTAAACCACAATAATAACCTTACAATGGGTCCTTACGATCAATCAGTCAAGCAGAATCACACACTGACACCGTTAAATGAAGTGATATTAACCAATGTAACACAATAAAAGAAAGCCATAATGAAAGACACTTACCTTCCTGTTGCGTGACTGTTTCATACGAGAGGACATACTCTTCCTGTCCACCTAGTAGAGACAGAAATACTGAGTTAAAACATCTTCATGTACTGTGTAGTTCAATTTAATTAACCCAACATGCATATATAGACTCAACTAAAGTTAGTAAAACACTCCTCAGAGTTACAAACAGTTTGAACTCGCATGAACTCTGTATCAGAGGATTTTGAGAAGCATCTACTAGAATTCAGAGATATGTTTTCAAAAGTGGAACTATTCTTTTCATCTTAAATATGTCTTAGATACTCTCATACAGCGACTTCTCTGAGAGGACTTTAGCATGTGATCTAACAGCTAAAGGACATTAATTAACTAATTATTCATAATGTATGCTGCTGTTCAAATGTATGGGGTGAGTAAGATTTTTTTAAAGAAATGAATACCGTTATTCAGCAAGCACACATTAATTAAATGTAGCAGTAAAGAATCCTTAAAAAAAAAACACTGCATCCCAGTTTTCAAATGGTTTGCAACATTGATAAAAATGAAGGTTTGAGTACCAAATCAGCATAGAATGATTTCTGAACAATCATGTGATGCTGAAAATTCAGCTTTGCCATACATTTGCATTAAAAAATAATAATAATTAAATATAAAGAATTTATTACACAATTTTACAGGTTTTACTGTATTTATGCTTTGATGAGCTTTGAAAAATATTAATAAAAAAAAATAAAAAAAATTACAAAATAAATAATTTATTTAAAAATCTTACCAAATCCAAACCTTTGAACAACAGTGTATAAATTATTAAACGGTTTAAAAGACTGCGAGAGACTTGTGAGATTGAAATGTAACTGAAATCTGATGTTGAGTGATCAGATGCATTTCTTTTGCTCTTGTTTTGAACAGTAGTCTCTAATTTTCACACTCTGTTCAGATGAGATTTATGAGCCATGTAGCATTAACAAAGTTCAAGAGGTTTTTCAGACCACTCAATGTGAATGATAGGCGAGTTACAAAACTACTGAAAGCCACAGGCTGTTCAAATGACTGTGACATCTTATTTGAAGGTAATATTCCAGGCCATAATATGCTGTGTCCCCAGCATGATCACTACGCAAGGTGCGCAGATAACCAGCACCTGTTTTATCACCTGAAACTGCCATGTAGGGCAAATCATAAAGCTAGCTTATGAACTATAAAGCATAGTAGAGTAAAAGAAGCTTCTGTCGGTTAAATCAATAGTGTGTTGTAATTATCTTGGCTTTTGCTACTGCATTTTTAAAAAGATCAAAATATCTATTTTATTTGAAATATTACATTAAATAGTTTTTGTGTAAAATCTTGACTCTGATGTTGGTCTTGAATAGTAAACATCTTTCAAGTATGTGTGTGCATATAACACAAAGGAAAGCTGAGGGAACAAAGGGAAATAAACACTCAAACTCATGAAATTTAAAGAGATGAATTCAATAACAACGATGAAAGGGAATAAAGGGGAACGCAAACTTACGGTAACTACTTTCACTATCGCTGGCATTAGAAGTTACATGCTCTGAAACCATAAAGAGGGAAAATAAACACTACAGACACAAAAACAAGCTTTGCAGGAATATGTCAGACACAACACTAAGATCAGTCACCAGCAGATGGCAGTGTTAAGAACTTGTACAGGACATTTGAGGCTTTGAAGCTCATCTCATTTTGTTCAATTTATCATAAATTTGCTTCTATAAAACAAGTATGAAACATTTAAAGTGAAAGTGACGTGACATGTAGTCAAGTATGGTGTCCAATACTCGGAATTGGACACAGTTATAGCAGTCAAAGAAAAACATCTCATCATCTAATTGCCTCTGAATGTAAGAAATTCTGTCGGGGGTCTTAACACAGTCATGGTGCAGTGAACATTGATGGACAGAGGGGCTCCACTTCACCACCTAAAAGTGTCTCAATGTAGAAGCCTAAGAAAAGACACATATACTAAACATTTAGGTATTATGGAAGATTGTAAATAACCTTTTCCTATCAGCCATGCTGATCTTAACCCCTCATGTTCTGTTGTTTCCACTCTACCATTCAAAAGTTTGGGGTTATTTTAATTTATTTTATTTTTAAAGAAAGGAATACATTTATTTAGCAAGAATACATTTAAGGGGTCATGAACTGCCTTTGTTTTTTATTTTGTATTGTTCTCTGAGGTCCACTTAATGTTATCAAGACTTTGACATAAAAAAAAATCATAATTTAGTAGTAATAAGACATTTTCTGTCTTGTTTTGACCCTTCTCATCGGAACGCTCTGTTTGAATAGGTGTGGTGGATTGTAGACTCGGAAGTAAACGCCCACCGCTATGATTGGCTAACAGCGGTGTATGTTTGACAGCCTACAGCCTTCATAGAGGAACGCTGCTGTGAAAAAAACGCATACATACTCAGTATATCAAACGATCAGTAATAACAGACAAAGCAATAGTGACCACATCATAAAAACAGTTATTCTCACTTGTGTGGTGCAACATTACTGTCAGATCCAATTTTGTCATCACAGCATCGTCTTTTAGTTTCAATCTTTCTGAAAATCCTGCGTCAAATTGTGCCTTGTTTGTAAACTAATATGAAGTGAAAATGAAGTGAACAAAGGACCAAGTTCTTACTGATGCGGTCTGGAAATTCATTAAAAATAAAGTTAATCAAATAAAGTTTATTGTTTGGTTTCTGTCTGGACCTGCCTTTGCCTCTCTCGTTATTTACACTATATGGGTGAATCAGTGGGCGGAGCTAAACAGGCAGTGATGTAGAAGCAGGCGTTGATCATCTTCTGCGGAGGTGGTGTTTAGCCATACGATTACGTCATAAAGTGGCACATTCCACAAGCTGTCGTTTTGGCAGATTGGCTTCAATATAAGCAGTTTTTAGACTAAGGAGAGAGTTCTGAAACTGAGTTGGTTGGGGTGGTGGTGGTGGTGTGTGTGCCCGAAGCGTGAATCCTTATAAGGGAAAGCAACTAACGATTCCTAACACCGTGTCTACACCAGATGCGAGCGGCACAACGCGACAAAATACTATAGAACCACTGATCTATAATAGAGATTAATTATATATAAATAAGTCAATAGAACTCATTATAATCAGTGATGTTGTCTACACTTGATGCGGCGCGGCGCAGCGTGACACGACAAATCTCTGACAGTAAACTGCTGCCGCGTTTTATTTATGACATGCTGACACAAATTTCAAATGATTTTCAACGGTCGCTTTGTCGCGTCCAGTGTAGACAGACTTTAGCTGATGTGGTGCGACACGACTACTGTCGCGTCCGGTGTAGACACGGTGTAAGGAGAGATGACTGAGGATGATGGCGACTGATTTGCAGATCCTCAGTACCACTGACAAACATATAATCTTGTATAATGTGTTGTAAGTACTGCCGCACCATAGTATAAACAGTATGTGCGATCATGAATCTCGAAAGTGAAAGTGAAACTAAAAAGCGATCGTGCATTCAAAGGGGGGATCACAATGCCGGCGCAACATCGTGATGCCTATCAGCCATCGGCGATGGACGATGGCATCGTCTATCGGCCCAACCCGAATTTTCAACGTTGGTAATAATAAGAAATCTTTCCTTGGCGCATAATCAACAAATAAAAATATTTTATGAAAGATCATGTGACACTGAAGACTGGAGTAATGGCTGCTGAAATTCAGCTTTGCCATCACAGGAATAAAATGCATGTTAAAATATATTAAAATAGAAAATAAATATTTTAAGTTGTGAAAATATATCACAATATATTGTTGTTTTTACTGTATTTTTGACCAAATAAATACAGTATTGGTGATACTTCTTAATAATAATTCTTTCAAATATTACGGACCCAAAACGTTTTAAAAGTTATTTTTAAAATTATCTTCTGATTTCCCTTCATATTGTTTTAGCATTTTTGATTTGACCAAGTACGTAGAAATGATTGAAGACTGTATAACAATGTAGACATGTATTTTTCAGAAACTCGTTATACTGTAGTTGTTTCTGTTTGAAAGAAATCAAAATAAAGAACTAAAGGGAGTGTGTATCTCAGTGCCCACATCAAACAGAACATGAGAGTTCAATTTAGCATTATTTGCACTTGATTTGTCCCCAAAAGCACATCTCAAACTCATCTCCCGAAGCAAAATCACAGTAGTAACTACATTTTTACATATTCTGAAGAAAACAAAATGGTGCAAAACTCGCTGCTCCAATGCTAAGGTCTTGTGGATGGTTTCCAAGGCATTGCTATGCAGTTGCTAGGTGGTTGATTACTGGCAAGTTAAAAGAGCCCACACCCCAAGCACTAGGATTTTTTTGAGATTCACTAGGCAAAAAATAATGTTCAATTGCTTAGTGGGGAGAATAAGTAAAGCAAAAGATGCGAGTTACACACCAATGTTCAATTCTTCAGGTTAGGCATTTGTTCAAAGACCTAAACCTGGGGTTCCCACACTTTTTTTGTCAGCTGAACCCTTTAGAAGTAAAATATTTACTGAGATTACCTGAGATTTTAATTTAATTTGCATGTTCACGCTTCTCTGGTGTTGGTTTATGGTCACGACATCCAAGGAAACAGATAAAAATATCAAATCTATTTATTTCTAGTAAGTGTTTTATTTTGGTTGTTTTAATTTTCAGTTTCAAGTTATACATTATTTATTTACAATACAAATATTTACTTCTTAAATTCTTTACTTTCAAATATTCAACACCTTTGAGCTTTTAACATATGAAATACTCAAGTTTTTATTTTTGGCAGAATACTGGTTTTGTTCATTTTGGAACAAAAATTTAGGAAAAATCTTATGAGAATCTGAATATAATATATCACTATTTTATTTTTATGTCAGTCAATTGTGCTGCACCATTTGTTTATTTTAATGTTCTATTCAATTTAATTACTTATCTTTTCATCAACTCACAAACCCCCATTTAGGAAACCCTACACCGAAGTATTAGCCATAATAATCACCACTATTTAATCAATGCATTTATAAGGCAAATGTTGTTAAAGGGATAGTAAACCCAAAAATGAAAATCTCCCTCACATCGTTCCAAACCTGTATGCATTTCTTTCTTCTGAAGAACATAAGATATTTTGAAGAATGTTGGTAACCAAACAGTTTCAGTTCGCATCAATTTCCATTGTATTTTTTTGTCCATGCAATGGAAGTCAATGGGACATGAAACTGTATGGTTACCAACATTCTTCAAAATATCTTATGTTCTTCAGAAGAAAGAAATGCATACAGGTTTGGAAAGATGCGAGTACTTTTTAAATTTTTGGGTGAACCATCACTTTAAGCAATACTCTAGAAACTGCCACCATAAATTTAACTGTGTTATTGTCATGGTTAAACATGTTTCCATCCTGGTATAAAACAACACATAAATTATGTAAATTTATAAATTAGTAAATTATGACAGAAAATTCATTTTTGGGTGAAATATACCCCTTTAAGAGGAGCAGAATTAACATGTTAAGGGTATAGTGGACAACAAAGGACCTGAACATAGCTCTGGATCTGCAAAGCTTGTGTTTTACAGCCATCTAGATATAACACAGGCTGCAGATAACACAATTCTAACCAAACATCACTGCTAAACGTGTAAGTAACAATTTATGGGGAATAAAGGGAGTTTGTTTGGTGGGGCCGGTGGGGTTCTGTAGGTCTGCTGTGGCCTTTGTGGACTTACTCAAGCCTTTGTCGTCACTCAGGTCCTGTGGAGCAGTCGGCAGAGAGCACGGAACCAGAGAAAACCACAAAAATAACAATGATTACTGGAACAACATATCACGTCTTACCGATGAACACTGCTCCTGCCTCGCAACAAACCCAGATATGGAGACTTCAGTGGTTTTCGATGGACATACGGTCCCCTAAATGATCTCACAATGACATACAGTAGAAGAGATCAACCAAATTAGCCGTCATGTTTAGGGTTGTTACAGAAGCAGGAGTTTTGTTCAGCGGTGCTGGTGTAGCCGCGTGTGGCGCTACCCTGCCCTGCACACGGCTAATGTACTTACGCTCCACATCGCTTGTTTCCTGTTCGCTGGGGTCCTTGTTCTTGTAGAAAGGGAATTTTCGCGAAAAGAGGTTCTTTTTACGCTTGTCATTGAGCGACTGCTGGGAAGGAGGAGAGGGAGGGATGGAGAACAAAAAAGGAAGAACAGATGGAATGGTGTTGGGTGTCTAGTTGAAGTATGAACAAATGCCCAACTTAACAGATGCCCATGTTACTGACTCTATAGCCACCACCAACCAATAAAATGATGCTGGAATGACAAAAATCAATAATGCTAGAATTTATGAATAGATATGAAACCAGATCTTGGTTTGGAGATGGCAACAGACACAGTAGAGTTTCTGAGAGATTACTTGAGTATCAGATCAATTTAAAGGGTAGTTACCACCACCAAGGATAGCACGGTGGGTTGCTAGCATAATTTGGACAAATTCAAGGACATGCAGACCAGCCCCCAAAATTAAGTTAGTTGATTAAAGTTAGTGAAAGGGTTTGGACGGGAACAAAGTTACAACACACATAAAGGACATAAACAGATGGACAGCTGAGTAATGTGCAGGAAGAGAAAGTGAAGAGCAGTTTGACATCAATGGCAAGCGTATACATCTTTTTGTTCTCTGAAATATTCATGCACACGTGCTGCATTAGTGAATGCAGTTGAAAATGCTGAGACAGTGAAGAGTGGATGATGAGTTGTTCTGGTACTAAACACAATACTGCTGCAAAGACTAAAGAGTTATAATCACTAGGGCTGGGTAATATATATTGAATTACGGAGATATTGAAATTAATCAGCATTGTGAATATTGCAATGAGTAGAGTAGCTTTTTAATTTTTTATCCGTTACAGTTTTTAAAGATCATGTCATATATATATATATAGATAACTTCATTAGAAAAAAACTGTGTTGGAGTAAATTGGTAAACTTGGTCAAACAGTAATTTCAGTGAATCTATTCATAACTGATTTAATGATATTTGTATCATTCACTGAAGCCCATTCCCAGAGTGGGATATTTCATATAATTATTCAAATCTGTTAGTCAAAATATTACATTAGTGTTATTATTTTATATTAATGGTACAGTATAAATAAACAAAGTGAAACAATGTGAAAAACATTCCTTTTTTTTTACTGCATTTTACTTCTTACATTAAACATTTTCAATCTACAATGGCAGTTCGGCTGAAAATATGGTCGTTTTGAATTTATATATATATATATATTTTTTTTTATTAAGTCAGAGCAAGTATATAAATACTGTGATATATCTTGAATGTCCAATATGCTGTTTTGGTGCTCAAGTAACATTTTTTGTTATTATTAGTGTTGAAAACAGTTGTACTGCTTAATATTTCTGTGTAAACATTTATATGAATAGAATGTAAAATACACTCTTTTTTTATTTTTTTGCCATATTGCCCAGCCCTAATAGTCACATGCGGTTAAGAATCCTCTCACAGGAGAGAATTGTGAACAAACATACAGGATTAGTACACTATATTCAGTAAAAAGAGATTTTAATTAATTTCACAAATAGAAACTTTCAAACAAGCATCTCATTTATGAAGAATGATTAATCACTTTTACACTTCGTTAGAGTTTACACTTGCCAGCTGTTAGTCGTCCTATGTGAGAACAGTTTTGACTTTTGAAAAGTCACACAAGAGGTGCAACAAAATTTTTCTAAAGCTGAACATCATGTTAGCACTTTTCATCTCAAGTTATCATAAAATAACAATGTTTTAGAAATAGGCTACAAGGCGTGTTCATAATGGTTTCTGGTTTCTGTCGAATTAAGATTATGTTGGCATCACTGCGAGTAAACTTAATTACATTTTTACACAAAAGACCCATTCATAATGTATTAGTCTATAAACTGCTGCTTTTTAAAGGCATTAAAAGCATGTTTATGTCATGCCGGACATGGTAAAAATTTGAGCAGCAAACACTTACCCCTTTGTCTCGAGACTTGGAGTTGAATTTAACCGTCTTTAACCTGGCTCTTTCTTTTCTCTCCACCCTGAAGAGGAAGGAGACAAACACTGTAGGACGACTGTTTTCACTGTTAATACACAACAAGTGTCCTGAGTTTATTATGTATACAGTATGTGTTTAAACTAAAATGTACCATGTACCATGAATAAAGGATTACTAAAGGAAGTCCTGTATAATTAGGCTGGTTTAGGGTAACATCCACCAGACGCTGCTCTGGCGTACTTCTTAGGGAGAGTTTACATGAGATCAACAAGTGTCCTGAGTTTATTATGTATACAGTATGTGTTTAAACTAAAATGTACCATGTACCATGTACCATGAATAAAGGATTACTAAAGGAAGTCCTGTATAATTAGGCTGGTTTAGGGTAACATCCACCAGACGCTGCTCTGGCGTACTTCTTAGGGAGAGTTTACATGAGACGCTTGGTTAAAAAAATCTAGATGACATCTAACCTTTAAAATCCAAATATGACGACGCAGATCAGAAACTTTCACAAAGAGAAATCCCAACTTGTTTCTAAAAATACAGAGCATTGCTGGCTGCCCCCAGTGCTTCAAGACCAAAGCGTCATCAGCGGGGAGGCGAGAGAGGAACATTTTTAAAATGAGGTGAGAAGTCAATTACCAACTTCAATCAGTATACAGTCGGGTGGAGAGAATGAGAGAGAAACTCTCACAGCATCACGCATCACTGCTTGTCTCGAAGCAGTTTTAACAGGATCGTAGGATAACAAAAAATATAATAATTTTATTATTAGTTTTAATAAAAAATTTAAACCCCTGGGACATAAAAGTGCTCTTGATTGAAGAAATGCCCACATCAAACCATTTTGAAATCTCCAGCTGCTGAGTCAAGTTAAAACCCTCATCACACAGAGAGCAGAGTGACTTTTACTTCAATTTTCACTTATGTAAGCATATATAGTCTCAAATATGATAATTCTTGGATACCATTGTGCTGGTACAGTATACATGTGCTCATTGCTCATCGTTACAAATTACAATGCATAACGCATAGTAATTAAACCAAAACGAAGAAAGACAGTGAACTGAAACAGAAGACATTGTAAAAGAGCCATTAGTGGAAAGACTAGTCGAGTCGTGGGTAATGTGGCTTTAAATGCACAATTGTGTTAATCATTGTAAAGAGGGTTAACAGTGTTATATTTCTACAGTAGAGTGAGCTCTGGAACGCATGGGGGCACAGCCTACCTCTTCTTGCTGGGAATGACGCCCATCTCCTCCATCTCGCCATCTGGAGTCATATGCCGCGCTTGCCACCACTCCTCATCCGAAGCATTCAGGACATGTAGGATGTCGCCGAAGCGGAAGTTCAGCCCCTGACTGGGCAGGCCGGAGTCTTTCGTTATGTCATAATCAAACAGGGCCCTAGAGGAGTGAGAATGTATTAAGAATTGTTTTTCAGAGAAGAAAAAATAAGACAGCAAAAAGCCAATGAATGTTAATGAACTCCTTTGTTGATAAAGTAAATAATAATAATAACAATAATAATAAATAAAAAATATAAAAATTAGTGCTGTCAAAATTAACGCGTTAACGCATGTGATACATTTTTTAATTTTAACGCATAAAAAAATATTTAAAGCAATTGAGACAGGGATGGAGCTAGGGTTGGCCACCCCATTCACAACTGCTGGTTCGGTCTCTTTTTTTCTTGACAAGAATTGCGTTTATTTAGATTCAGAACATCTTTATGACCACATCAAAGAGACTTTTCAGACGCGCACTCCATCTTCACCTCAGCGCCAGGAGCCAGTCAAACGAGTGTGAAATAAAAGGTACAGGTGACGAGGGAGCTTCAGCAGAACAACAGTGAACTGCGGTCAGATGAGATGTTGTCAGGCCATATGTTATTAAAGTGCAAGAGAAACTACAAGCATGCAATGTCATAGCTATGTCGTCAGTTAAGTCATGAAGTTACCAAAAAGGCGATTAAAGCTGCCTTAAATCTGTGCATGCAGTAAGTATTTGTTATATACGAGTCAGATTTAAAAATATGTCTCTGAAATGAAGTGGTTTTCAAGCAGCCCAGCACTGTCTCCCTCATCTAACACACCCGATTCAACTCGTCAGCTCATTAGTAGACTTTAAGAGCTGAAGTGGGTCAGAAAAGGTAAAGCGTTTTGAGAAAATATGAGTGTAAAAGCAACCAAAATAACCTAATAACCCAGCTGCTGTGATGTCTGTTAATCAAAGAACAAAAGCAAAACAAAGAGGAAATCATTAACTTTTGTAGCTTTAAGGATTCATCTATATTTAATTTAGAATTTAGTGTTTTAGCGACCCCAATAACATGATATTTAGCCCCTGGAATGCGAATTTTACTGGAAGATCCCCGCCGAAAAACGTGTATTTAACCCCCAGAATGGATTTTTACAGGGGAACCTCCTCGGAATGCGATTGGACTACTTTTATTGCGAAAACCTGGCAACCCTGTTCATAAGCGCCACCTCCTGTCAGAGAGTGCGGCTCATTCAGACCTGCTGTTTTTGTTTCGTGCAGATGTTTTATGTAGCAAATAAATAAATAACACCTAAAGTCAGAACATTCTTTTTTTGTTTTAAATCCTGAAATTAATCTAAATCAAATCAAAAACAACTGCCTGTGCAGATCGTGATTAAAATGCAGTGGTTGCCTCTAATTTCAAATGGCTAGATATTTTTGTTTGAAGCCAGTTTGTTTGTTATAAAGCAAATAGCCAATAAATAAATTTGCTTAAATATCAGTATCAGAATCAGCCAATTTGCTAGTTTTTTAAAAAAAAAGTAAAAAAGAAAAGAAAATCAGAATTCTGAATCAGCTATGATCGGAGCATCACTTATTAAAATACTAAGTAAAAGCCCTCAAATTTGAAGTACAATCTGGGATGTCTTTTTCTATCAATTCTTCAATAGGTAGATCTTGTCTTTCATTAAGGCCGAGGTCAGGGATCTTGGGCCTAAAAAGGTTGGTGACCACTGCGCTAGAGAGACCAATCTACTTTGAGTGTAAACTAAACGAGCCAATGCACATTGGCATGCGATGATTGCATCCAGCTGCCACTGATCGCAGCACGAGTATAAATAGGCAGCAGATGCGACGCATGCTCAGGTTTTCGCTGAGGAGCCGAGCCGGTGACCCGGCCGTTCAGCGGTGGTGGTACAGCAGCCGTGGCAACGGGACGTGGCATCTCCGTTCCCTCCTTCAGGGAACGAGGGTTACAATACGTAACCAAGATGATCCCTTTCAGTCGGTCACTCTCGACGTCACATCGGTGACGACGAATTGGGAATCCCTACCAAAGCGCCATGGATGCTGCCCCTTCCAGTGTCTTGTGTGAGTCACCTGCGCCCCCTTTTGGTGTAGGCCGGGGTTCGCAACAAGAAGGCCAGTCACTGTTGTCGTAGCACTACCCACTCAGTGAGATTGGATAACACTGGGAAAACGTACCCTTTCCACCCGGAACAGGAACATTGCGGAAGCCCCATCCTTCCCGAAGGAGGTTTCGGAAGCACTTACACATATGGACAACCGTGTACATATGGAAGATTAGAGATGATTATAACCCTCTTGGAAATGGCAGAAGTCTGCCGGGGAACACGGGCTCTGAGGCTATACCATGGACTTTACACATATGGGATCCACTTAGGTCTCTACATATGGAACCCAGCCCTCTAGCGTTTCTCACAGATTCATTGAGTTCCGCCACGTCTGGCTGCAGAGGGGATGGAGGAGCTTGACAGGGTCCACAGTACGGACACTCTGGAGCAGGTCTAACAAGCCGACACTAAACCGGGGCCTCTCAGTGCCTCAGGAGGAGAACACAGGAGGATACATATGGGATCCACTTAGGTCTCTACATATGGAACCCAGCCCTCTAGCGTTTCTCACAGATTCATTGAGTTCCGCCACGTCTGGCTGCAGAGGGGATGGAGGAGCTTGACAGGGTCTACAGTACGGACACTCTGGAGCAGGTCTAACAAGCCGACACTAAACCGGGGCCTCTCAGTGCCTCAGGAGGAGAACACAGGAGGATATCGGCTCCACACGAAGGCTAAAGAATCTAGCAAACGTGTTGGGGGGTCGCCCAGCCCGCAGCTCTACAAATATCTACCAGCGAGGCGCCATGAGCCAGCACCCAGGAGGATGCAACACTTCTAGTTGAGTGAGCTCGCAACCTGAACAGGCAGGGCACACCCTGTGCCTGATAAGCCAGGGTGATGGCATCCACTATCCAGTGGGCCATCCTCGTCTTAGAGATGGCATTCCCCTTCTGCCGGCCTCCGTGACAGACAAAGAGCTGGTCTGAGGTCCTAAAGCTTTGCGTCCGGTCTACGTAGCATCTCAAGGCTTGGACGGGACAAAGCAAAGCTAGGGCTGGGTCTGCCTCCTCTGGGGGCAGCGCTTGCAGGCTCACCATCTGTTCCCTGAAGGGAGTAGTGGGAACCTTGGGCATGTAGCCGGGCCAAGGTCTCAGGATTACCTGGGAGTCAGCAGGACAGAACTCTAGGCACGAATTGTCGACCGAAAATGCGTGCAGGTCCCCTACCCTCTTGATGGAGGCCAATGCAATCAGGAGCAGAGTCTTCATTGAAAGAAACTTCAGCACAACTGATTGCAAAGGCTCAAATGGAACACGCTGTAGTGCTTCTAGCACCAGACACAGGTCCCAAGAAGGTATGGAGGGAGATCGAGGAGGGTCCAGCCTTCTCGCCCCCCTGAGGAACCTGATGACCAGGTCATGCTTCCCCACCATTCTCCCCTCTATGGGGTTGTGGTTAGCTGAAATAGCAGTGACGTAAACTTTAAGGGTGGAGGGAGACGGCCTTCGCTCCAACCCTTGCTGCAAGAACTCTGATCGGACATCTTTGGGGGTCCTCTTGATGAGAGGAACATCACTTGATGAACAGGTTCCACATCAAGGCGTAAGCATGTCTCGTAGACTGTGCTCTCGCCGAAGTGATGGTGTCAACTACCTCCTGGGGTAGGTCACCTAGAACCTCTGCATCCCGTCCAGGGACCAGACATGAAGTTTCCAGAGGTCTGGATGCAGGTGCCCCAGGGTGCCCCGTCTCTGAGTCAGAAGATCCTTCCTCAGAGGAATCTGCCAGGGAGGGGCTGTCACAAGGAGCATCAGTTCCAGGAACCAGGTCAGAGTGGGCCAGTAGGGCGCCACAAGCAGGACCTGCTCCTCGCCCTCCCTGACTTTGCACAGTGTCTGTGCAAGAAGGCTCACTGGGGGAAATGCATATTTGCGTAGGCCCTGAGGCCAGCCGTGTGCCAGCGCGTCCATGCAGAATGTTCCCTCGGTCAAGGAGTTGAACAGCTGGCAGTGAGAGGTCTCTGGAGATGCAAACAGGTCTACCTGAGCGACTCCGAAACATCTCCAAATCAGCTGGACAGTCCGGGGATGGAGTCTCCATTCTCCGGGGAGCACAGCTCGTGACAGCTCGTCGGCTGCACTGTTGTTCAGGCCCGGAATGTGAACGGCACGAAGCGACCTCAGATGCTTCTGACTGCAGACGAGGTGGCGTCGGGCGAGTTGCGACATACGACGGGAGCGCAGACCACCTTGTCGGTTGATGTATGCAACGGTCGCAGTGTTGTCCGTGCGGACCAGCACGTGCTTGCCTAGTAAGCGCCCTCTGAGACGGTTCAAGGCAAGGCGTACTGGTAGCCACTCTAGGCAGCTGATGTGCCAGTGCAGTTGTGGGCCCGTCCACACCCCTGAGACTGCTTGCCCGTTGTACGTGGCCCCCCAGCCGGTGGTGGAGGCATCCGTGTGTACCACAGTATGCCTCGAGACCTGTTCTAGGGGCACTCCTGCCCGAAAAAACGTGATGTCTGATCATGGGGTGAGAGTTTGCTCTTTCCCCAGTTGACCCGAAGGCCCAACAGGCTGAGGTGCCTGAGCACCAAATCTCTGTGCTCGCACAACTGATCCCGAGACTGTGCTAGTATGAGCCAGCCGTTAAGATAGTTGAAGATGCGAACACCCTGCTCTCTCAGGGGAACACGAGCCCCCTCCGCAACTTTCGTGAAGACACGTGGGGCTGGAGGGACCGGCTCTATCGCATCCTTCGCCAGTAGGACTGCGATCTCCGCACGCAAGACAGGAGCATCGGCCGCCTTCACTGATGTGAAGTGGATGCCCCTGAACTTGGGGGGATGGTCCGAAGGAGCCAGCAAGACGGGCTGGACAGCGCTAGCCAGGCTTCCAGATACCGTACAAGCAGGACCAGCAGAACCACCGATGTACCAGCAGTGGGGCAGCGAGGTGGAACGCAAGGACCCGGCTCGGGCAGCTCGTGGACCAACCGAAGCTGGGTCTAAGTGTGCGGTGCAACACTTACCTGGTTCCAAGGTTGGGCAGAGGGTGCGTGAGTAGGGCCTTTGATGACACTCTCGAACCGCCCGCTGCTGCTCGCTGGCGACAGAGGAGGATGAGTGTGATCCGGCTCTGGACCGTCCACAACTCTCCATGCCTTCTTGAGACCTAGAAATAGAGGAAATTGCTCTTCTGTTGAGTGTTTGGGTACCATCAACCGAGAGGTCAGTGGTGGAATAAAACAAAACAAAAGATTCTCCGCCCGGCCCTCCTCCGGGGGGGAGGGATTGGTGCGTTCACCATCTCCCGAAGAGCAAATCCCTCCATCTCTGGTTCGCCCGTCTCAGGGCCTCTTGCTCTTCCGCTTGCCGCCAGGTTTGGCGGGGGCTGAGATGGGTGGGGCGGATGCCCTGCGACCGGCTCCATGGCGCTGCGGCGCGTGAGTGGGGGATGGGTGGTTCTCCCGAAGAGCAAATCCCTCCATCTCTGGTTCGCCCGTCTCAGGGCCTCTTGCTCTTCCGCTTGCCGCCAGGTTTGGCGGGGGCTGAGATGGGTGGGGCGGATGCCCTGCGACCGGCTCCACGGCGCTGCTTAGCTGGAGGCTGCTGCGGCGCGTGAGTGGGGGATGGGTGGAGGCAGCAGCTGCCCGCCGGGGCAGGGTATGTCGAAACGCCTCAGTCTGCTTCTGTGCAGCTGAGGACTGCTGGGCGAAGCTCTCGACTGCGTCGCCGAAGAGGCCGGTCTGGGACACAGGGGCATTAAGGAACCAAACTTTGTCAGCATCCCTCATGTCGGACAGACACAGCCAGAGATGCAGCTTGGAGCGCGAGGTTAGTTGCGGTTCGGAGTTCTTTCAGAACTTCCAGATCGTGAGCACTTTTGTGCAGTTCCTTCAGTGCCTGAGCCTGGTGGACCTGCAGCAACGCCATGGCGTGCAGGGCAGAGGCAGCCTCTCCACAAGCCGCATAAGCACCGCCGGTCAGACCAGACGAGTGCGTACAGGCCCGGGAGGGAAGGGCCGGTTTGCCCCGTCAGGTGGAAGCGGTACCAAGACACAACTGCATTGCTACCGACCGCTCCACCAGGGGGATCTTTGTATACCCCTTGGCTGCTCCACCATCGAGGGCGGTAAGGGAGGAGGAACCACTAGGCCGGTTTCTGGCAGTAAAAGGTGCCATCCACGACCTAGTGAGCTCCTCATGCACCTCCAGGAAGAATTGCACCGGAGTGGGGCGCTGAGAACCAGTGCGGGCCCCCCCAAGAAACCAGTCATCCAACCTCGAGGGCTTGGGACACGGTGGAGGTTTCCACTCGAGCCCTACCCTCTCCGCGGCTCGGGAAAGCATCGCCATCATCTCCGGATCCGATTCAGGCCTTCCTACCATCCCGGAGGGATGCAGTGATCGACATCCGATCGTCGGGAGGAGCACCAAAGGATACGGCTGGTACGCTCTTTGTAGACGGCCCAGCACGTTCCTTCGGGAGCTCAGCTGACTGTGAAGGGCGGTCCCTGGGAGGTTGGTTCCTTGGAGGGTTTGGCGCCACTGTGATCCTCAAACTGCCCGAGCTACTGCCAGAAGTAGCCCTCCCCTGACTTCTGCCAGGAAGAGAACTAGATCGTGGCAGAGGCACCGGAACTCCACCCCTTTTGAGGTAGTGGAGCCTGGTCCACAACTCCGAGATGGTCATCTTCCTGCAATTGGAACCTGACTCCACGAACGCCACTTCAGCGTGCTTAATGCCCAGGCAAGTGAGGCAGTGATCATGACCATCACCCGGCGCCAGGTAATGAGCGCATTCAGAAATGCACAGGTGAAATGCCATCTTTAAAATTACGCGTCTTTAAAAAGACGTTCACCTGTGAATGCTCTTTTAGGATTGCTCTTTTAGTTGTGCTGAAGCACACTGGGGAGATGGCCGCCGCAACACTACAGGGGGTAGTGCAGCCTGTAGTTTGCACCCACTCAACGAAGGTCGACCGACCCGCTATCGCGCCATAACACCTGCACAAGAAGTTCCTTTGAGAGCTGACTCATTCAGAATCACGAAGCTTGGCAGGAGCAGAACGATAACACTGCTCGGCTCCGAAGCGAAAAGCTGAGTATTCGTTGCATCTGCTGCCTATTTATACTTGTGCTGCGATCAGCGGCAGCTGGAGGTAATCATCGCATGCCAATGGGCATTGGCTCATTTAGTTTACACTTGAAGTAGATTGGTCTCTCTAGCGAGATTCCCAATTCGTCGGTCACCGACGTGACGTCAAGAGTGACCGACTGCAAGGGAACAGCCTTTATTTTAAAGGTCAAAGGAAAAGTAAAAATGGGGCATGTCAAACAAAATTATGATTTTCAGGGGGAGAATGAAACCTTTTCTTTTAAAAAAAAAAGCTGAATAAACCAGATGCAACAGCAAGAAAAGCCTCTAGACTGTGCATACATGGGATTCACCGACTGCAAGGGAACAGCCTTTATTTTAAAGGTCAAAGGAAAAGTAAAAATGGGGCATGTCAAACAAAATTATGATTTTCAGGGGGATAATGAAACCTTTTCTTTTAAAAAAAAAAGCTGAATAAACCAGATGCAACAGCAAGAAAAGCCTCTAGACTGTGCATACATGGGATTTTATGAATATTAAAATACTATAAAGACATTGAAACCATTCTCTTATGCCAAAGTTATTTTTTTTTCATCTTACAAAGCCAGTCTTCCTAACTCATTTGCCCACAGACAGATTTCCTGAGACGTTAAGTAGGCCACTGCTGTTCTGTGCATGTGTATTTAAGAGAACTGGAGCTGAAGTAACTAGCTGTCCAAACTCTTGACTAGCATATCTCTGTTTCCTCATCAATAATGAAGCACTTCCAGGAGGAAGCCAGGGCATCTGAGAAGCTTATGGGGCTTTAATGAACATACAGATACCAAAGCCTTCTTTAACCCTCACAAGCACATAAAGAGCCCTTATTTAACTCTTCAGCAAATGGTGCAGATGATTTCTGTGCAGTCTTAATCTGCTTAGAGGTGCAATAGGCTACATTTGTATCCTTGCACAGATGAAGTGGAGACATTAAGTCATTATCGTAAAGGGTCTGCAGAACGAAGATTAAAAGCTCAATCTGTGTAGATATAAGGTTTTAATGTAATACCAGATCATAAAACTGGTGTCTCTTTCAGAAAGGTCAAAATTATATTTGTGCTATGACAGCCAGTGGAACTAAACATTTTTAAATGCATTGACTAGGCACTTACTAGAAAATATCACTGATAAATGTTCCATGAGTCATGAAAAAGGCCTAATTACACAATTTCTTGGCACAAGGTAAAAGGAAATGTAAAGTCAAAAAACGTCACTGGCTATACATGTCACCAGTGGCCTAGTAAACCTTGACTCTGTGTCACAAACATGCCGCGGGATATATAAAGCCAAAGATGACTGCAGTTCTACCTGCATCCTTGTGTTCTTTTTAGTGTCCATCAAAACTAAAATCAAAATCTATGTTAACATTGCCACAACAGCTTGTGTTAGTATAAATCTTTCAGAAACAACCACAAACTGCACCCTAAAATATAAAAGTATGCAATAAACCAAACTTGAGAAAACAGCCTCACTGCAACATTCACTTTAAATATTTTTTTTCCATCACTGTTTGTTTCCATTAATCATTCATTACATTCACTTACTATGTTAAATGTTCTGCTTTATGTCTTTCAGTTCAATTTAGATTAGATTTCCTGTCAATTAAAATAATTTAATTGTTCTTACGATGACCAATTTGACTGATATTTTTCAGAACGCATACATAATTATATGCAGGGACAATATGCATATATTATGGGTTGAGCTGAATGTGACCTACACAACTGAAAACTCACATTAGGTTTTAAATCAGTGAACACATGCATGCATGTGTAGAGAATCCAGTGCCCAGGGGCATTCAAATACTCAAAATGTCAAAGCTATTCTTATTAAAACATAAGAGCAGCAACCTGAGAGCTAAAGAATAAAGTCAAACAAAAGCCAAATAAGAGTAAAACTTCAGGAGCAGTTTCACACAGCAATCCTGATCATCTATTGCTTTATATATATATATAATATAATTATATAATATAAACATAATTTATTATTTAATATATTTAAAATAATAACAACAATAAACTCTACTATAATAGAATACACTATGAAGTGCTGAATGTACTACATATTCTGAAGTGCCACATTCCTGTGTTGATCTCGGAGGATTAAGGATCTAAGCATGTTTGGAAGATCAAATGTAACTAGTGGTGATTAGGGTAAGCTCACCTGACATACAGGGTCCTCTTCTGACTAGTCCGCAATGAGCCAGAGCCTGAACTTATACTACTGTTCATCATCTGCTCCCGTAGATCATGGATTTTGGCTTCAAATCGACTGTACTCTGTTGGAAACACAAAAAACAACATTACATATGCAGTCTTGCTGAGAAGAGATAAACAACAAGGAACATCCTCAGCCCTCAAACACCTACAGCCTCAGGGTGGATCGGTAATATCGATGGAGATGGTGGGAAGAAAAGTCAGACAGAAAGAGAGGGACATATAAAGATATGTGGTTTAGAGCATTGGGAGAAAGTATAGGATCTCAGTTTGAAGTCTGTCAAGTGTGAGCATTACAAATGCATAAACACTAAATAGCAGAGAGATGCATCAACATGCACACAGCTGTGCGCAAGCCGTAAAGTGGTAGAGAGGATGGATATAGTCTGATATGTTGGAGAAATCTTATTAAATGAGATGGGTCCAGTGAATTCACCATCCATTCCCAGGACTCAAACTGTGTGAGGAAGGTTTGCTCACACTAGACCAAAACAGTGAAAATGTTCATGATTTATTCAGTGGTTTAACCCACTTAACGCTCCTGCTCTTTCACTATGTTTGACCTTTAGGGAACGTAAGAAAGACATTCAAGCTATAGAACTGAAACCATGACATTATAGTCCGATAAAGAGCTCACGGCAGGTTTGAATCATCAAGAAATTCTTCTTTTGAAGTAATAGTCAATGAAACATGAGGAGGCAACCCCAGTAGGAATAAGAAGCTTTTAACCAAGTCTATTAAATATCCTCTATAAAAACAAAACCCTCACACCTCAAACAAAACAAAAACTTCATAAAAAATACAAACATTATATTATGCGACATATGAAACACTGAAACATTCAATGCACAATAAAACACTTTAATTCTCCTTCCACTGGATAATTAAATTAAATTTAAAATCAATTAAGTTGAAAGTAAATCAACATACTTACAGGCTCTTTTCTCAGAGTCTACAGTGAACGAAAGTTTCCGAGCGTTTTTCTCTGTCTGTCTCTACCCCTCCATGTGAGAGTTCAATTGTGTTGTGGTGCTGAAGGACAGCTCCAAATCACACACAGCTGCTCTCCGTGCACGAATGTGTGCTTGAGCGAGTGTATGTGTGCGGAACTTGCCTTAGTTGGACGCTTCCACGCAAAGCCTCTCTGAGCACCTACAGCACAGCAACATAACAGATGCTAATGGACTAAACAGTGCTTGAATTTCTCACTCACCCCTCCCTCCAGTCTCTCCCTCTCTCTCTTTTTGTTGAAGTCACAGCCCTAACCCATGTTGGCTTGTTTAGCACAAAACCGCACCTTTATTTCACCAAGCAGAGAAACAGTAGAGCACTGAGGCGTGTGATGATATTTGTGAGAAACGGAGGTTCGGTGAAAGCACGCAGGTTCTGAGGATCTGCTCTACTGGGGTACAGCACATTTAGCCCAACTGCATGCACAGCACACGTGGCTGAACATGTTGGTAATCCACAGGATTCATTTGGGAAAAGGATTTAGGCAAGTCAATGAAACAGCACAAAAAATACACATGGGTCATTCCTGCTATTCAGCAAAAAATATGGCTGTGTTGTAATTCAAGAAAGTATTTCTATAAAACGGTATACAATATTTTCAGAAATACGATAGGCACTAAAAGGGATATTTCACCCCAAAATCATAATTCTGTCATCATTTATACACCCGTGTGTTGTTTCAAAATGTCTTTCTTCTGTGGAAGACAAGAGAAGATATTTTGAATGCTGGCCACCAATTCGTTTTGGTAACCATTGACTTCCAAAAAACTAAGGACCAGATTTACTAAACGGGGCAAATTAGCAAAGACCACAATCCCATGAAAGCACTGATGATCTACTGACAATGTAGAATGTGAACACAGACGCAGCCAGATCATTTCCAATGAAAACCAACATCATCTACCAAGAGCAATGCAAATTAGCAACTATTGCAGCCATGTCAAGCACAAAATGGATTAAGACATGATTTTTGGTGCATTAAATAATACCAGCGAACTGACTACCGCAAACCTTAGTAAAACACTTTGCAAGATTTATTTAAATACTCTCCTCCCATACATTTTGCGTTTGAAATAGAAACTCCTACAAATGCATATGCATTAAGGTCAGCTGCAAAACAACTGCATCCACGCCTTTACATGGCTAATTTGTCACTGCATGTCTTTAGTAAATCCTGTCGTAGTTTTTAAATGTCAAAAGAGGGTTTGCGCTGGCACAAGCTATTGGTAAATCTGGGTGGATTTTTATTTATTTTTGTGGAATATTTTAGAGACAAACCAACTTATAATCACACATCACAAAACTCATCAAACCATTACTAATACTTATTGATTTTCTCATCAAAATTGATGTCACTTCAGGGACTGTTTTTCAAAATTATTTATTTTCTGTGAAAGACTAACAGGATGGAAAGTTATATTGAGGACATAGGAAAAACGATACATTTCCTCAAATGGTTGCGTGAAACATTTTGACTGGAGAGGAAGACATTGAGAAAGACCTTAAGTGTTTCTCCAGTGTTTCAGTTTATAACTAGCCTACATATTCATGTGTACATGAAGAGAAAAAAACCCTCAAACACTCCATGTAATGAATAACAGGCATCACCAACACACACTGAAGAAAAAGTTTGTAAAATACAATAAATCTATTTTGGCTATCTGATGTACACGTTACTATATTGCTGGAGATACTGTACCTTTGCCTTTAAACACTGTATCTGATTAGACAACATGGATATTTCATAAGTACTGTAAAACATTAAATTATCTTCAATAAATAATCTCTGTCATGTTTTCTCTCTGAATTCACATTTTCCCTTGGCAGATAAACATAAGACAATGATACAATGGATGCATGGTAATGAACAAAAGTCTATAATTAGAGAGCAGAAATGCAAAGTCATTCATAATGAAGACTGGAGAACACTCATATCTTCTGGCAGAGTCCACACAGATGAAACAACAGGAAACTAAATGCTAGTACCCTCAGGATTACACTGGTTTGGAATGAATAGTTTAGTGAGAGTAATGATGCATGTACTGCCGTAGAACAGTGAAAGACTTTCCTGTTATCAGAATGTTATTGTCATCAATTCTGTGTCAAACAAAACAATTAAGGGCCTTTCAGAAAGCTCAAAAAGGAAGGAGGCAGAGAGAGGAAATAATACGCTTTGAGTCACATTTCAAAAGAATGAAAGATGGATGAATAATCATTAGGAGCTTTTATATTTAGAAAAGGCATTAAGGCACAATGGTCAAAACTAAATCAATGTATGATTTGAAGTATCATTATAACAAATGGATAGGCTCCAAAGTTTAACACTTCCTCAATAGGATAAATAGTATTAGCAATGCCAATAAGTCAATAATTATTTAATGTTATGCTTGGGAAGTGATAAACGGCCAAAATTCTGTACTATATAGTGTACAGTAAATTAAAAAAAATGCACAAAACTAAAATCAATCTTTAACTGTTTCAAGTGAAGTTGAAAACGTTAACGGTTGAAAATGGTAATACGGTATGATATTCATGGATATTCACTAAGAGAACTGCTAAAGATTATATTTAACAGTGTTATTTAATTATTAGTGTGTGTAAGATTCATTTAAAGTCGGCTTCTGATGATGGCAAAGGTAATATAAATGTAAAAATCCAACATCTGCCAGTAACTGATAGGGAAAGGTATACTGTACATCCTTAAAGAGTATCAGCAAAATACTGCCACTAATCCTCAAAAACACCAAATACAGGCGGCGTGACTTTCTGCTTGAACACTGTATATCTGGATTTAAAAAAAAAAAAAAAAAGGAAACAGATCATTTTTTCAATAGTGCTTTGTAGACAGAATAAAATAAACATTCACAAACATTTTATGAGTCATCAACTCAAAGTTAGACAGCCCTGATCTCATGAATATGTGAATTTTAACAAGGTGCAAGAGAGGATTTAGTCTTTGATAATCTGACTGAGTTTGTCGTCATAGTCATAGAGTGCGGCGCTAATGTATGTGGCTAAAGCACTTTCAGTTTATACATAATATTGACTAATACTTTAGTCATTTCCTTAAGGCATTAAAGGAAGCTTAACTCATTTTTGACAAGCAGAGTATAAAACCAGAGTATAAAAAGAATTGCTGCTATACATGCCATCTAAGCATTACAGTGCTGGCAGATCTTGCACGAAAAACAAGCAACCTCGTCCGACCATAGCAGGTTTTTCTAGAATGATGATGATGATGATAATAATAATAATAATGTACTGTAATATAGAGAGAGGAGAGAGAAGGAGCCAACTGTATATGTAACATTTTGTACAATATAATATTAATTTACAATATATTATTATTCTAGTATGCACACAAAATGTATAGTGTACATTTCCACATCACTGAGGTAGAGGGAGGGTCTTGGAAATACATAATCACAGAAATTAATAATGACATAGATGGCAGCTTGAACAGTAGATGGGAATATTTGACAGCTGCAGATGGTGGGTTGTCACATTTTTTTGTACTATAGGGATGCAAGCCCAAAGATGCTTATAATAAGAAGGCATGGCAACATTGAAGCATTATTTGATCACACTTTCTTACAAAAAAAAAAAAAAATGTTTTTGAAAAAAAGTTTTCATTGACTGGGTGGTCCCATTAAAAGTAAAAAGCGTTTGTTTGAAATGTGAAATGAGTAAATTTCTCCTTAATTCTGCAAATAACTAGAGGGCATGTCACTGAAGCAGGACTTGCTCAGCTGTGAGTGTGTCAGATACAGATCCTCAGAGCCGTTAAATCCCTTTGATCAAAGCAGTCTGGCCCTAAGGGCTTTCATTTCCTATCCAAACGCCACCATCAGTGCACGTTTAACGGCATTTGTTTCTCATGTCACAAAATGGAGGCTCTAGAATGACTGCATCGCAGTTAAATCATTACACCACAAATCATTACATCTGTTTAGATAGATACCTAAAGCATCGTCTGGTTATTGCACTTAATGGAAAACACCATGTAGCACTGACATATTCACGATGAGAAACCCTGGAGAGTTGACAAGGT